ATACTTTGGACATGTTGTAAGGAGAGACTGGTCCTTGGAGAAGGACATCATGCTTGGGAGGGTGGAGGGACAGCGCAGGAGGGGAAGGCCCTGTATGTGGTGGATTGATTCAGTGACTGGGGTAATCGGGATGGGTATGTCAGAGACAGTGCGATTGGCACAGGACAGAGCAGAGTTTAGGGCTGTTGTACATAGGGTCTCTATGAAATGCAAACAACTCGATGGCACATAACAACAAGCATATGAACAAGAGTCAGTGGTAATGAAGGATGAAGTTCAAGCTGTACTGAAAGCATTGGTGAAAAATAAGACCCTAGGAATCATTGGATTGACATGTTTCAGCTGACAGATGCAGCTCTTGATGCACCAGTTTATGCCAGAAAATTTAAAGGACAGCTACCTGGATGACTGACTGGAAGATCTATATAGTCCCCATTCCCAAGAAAGTAGATCCAACAGAATGTGGAAATTATTGAACAATATCATTAATATCTTATGCAAGCAAAATGTTTTAAAAATTTTTTATTATTAATTTCAATGAAAATTTACAGACACTTTGGATTTCCATTCACTCATTGTTACACTTTTCTTTCATTGTTTTACAATCAGCAAAATACTTTTGAAGATCATTCAAAAATGACTAGAATAGTACATTGACAGGGAACTAACAAAGCTGGTTTTATAAGAAGCTGTGGCACCAGGAATATAATTGCTGATGTCAGATGGACACTGGCTGAAAGTAGAGAATACTAGCAGAACGTCTATTTGTGTTTGACTATACAAAAGATATTTGGCTGTGTGGATCATAACAAATTATGGCTACCATTGAGAAGAATGGGAGTCCCAGAACACTTACTGTGCTTATAAGAATCTATACCTAGACCAAAGCTGTTGTTTAAACCAAGTAAGAGAACACCGCATTATTTAAAATCAGAAAGGAGGTGGGTCAGAGTTATATCCTTTCTCCGTAACCATTCAGTCTCTATGCTGGGCAAATAATTCGTGAAGCCAGACTCTTTGAAGAAAAATGTGGCATCAGGATTCGAGGAAGACTCATTAGCAACCTGAATTATGCAGATACCACAGTTTTGCTTGCTGAAAGTGAGGAGGATATGTAGTGCTTGATGCAGAAGGTCAAGGACCGCAGCCTTTGGTATGGATTAAATTTTAACATCAAGAAGACAAAGGTTCTCCCCACAGAGACAACAGTCAGCGTTAAGATAGATGGAGAAAGGATTGAAGCTATCAATGAGTTAAGAATCAATAATTCCTTTGTTACCAGCAGTTTTGAACTCAGGAGATGTATTGCATTGGGCAAGTCTGCTGTCAAACACCTCTTCAAAATGTTAAAGGCAATGTAAGTTTGAAGACTGAAAAGCGCCTGATTCAGGCCATGATCTTCTCAGTCATCTGCTACATAACTGAGAGCTGGACAATGAATAAGAATGACAGCAGAATAATTCTATATCTTTGAATTGTGTTGCTGGAGAAGAGTACTGAATATCCCAGGGACTTT